GCTCTCACAAGTATAGTTGTTGCTACAAACAGCACGAGGTCTCGGTGGTAGTATTCTCTAGTATCTGCTGAAGGCCATCATCTCATTTAATGTCCTGCGGCCCTTATCTCCAATTGTTGCAACATCAATCGAACTCCGCTTCCCATTCCAAATTATACAAGGCACATCCATTATATGAAATAGGAATAACTATTCCAGTTATTACCACTATGGTCCTCTTGCACACCAATGTAATTTCAAACAAAATTCCAAGTTTGCCCTCGATTATTTATCAAATATCACATCTCGTTGCAAATATATATTAACATAAAATAGCAGTCCTCTTGTTTTTGTTTTACCCTGATAGTAAAGGTTTTACAGGATTGCTCGTGTCTGGAACCTATGATTAGACTCTTTGTACATATTTCTATCATGTTTAGTAGCAAATATATAATAAACTATAGAATGGAAGCCATCCTAGACACCATCTTGAGTTCCTTAGTTAGCACAAGGAAGATATTTGAATTTTTTTAATGTTTTTTTATGTATTTTTTTAAATTTTCAGCTTGTTGCCAATTTGTTCCAGGTCTGAGGTCTATTCGAGCTATTAATCTTGGACCAGCAGTAGTCGCTCAAAAACTCCCTTTACTGGGGGTCGATGAATTTCAGAATGAACATTGCTACTCCTGTTATCTCAGTAGGGTTGTCAAAATCTTCCATCAGTTGCATTATATTGTCTAACATAATTTTGTAGGATATATTTATTTTACAACTTATTGTCAAAATGAACTACAATGTTTGATATGGGGTCAAGAAATGTGACACTACATTGCCGCTTACTAAAATTTTACTCCCTAACTCCCCCGAAAACAAAAGTTCTCAGAGCAAACAATTTAAGGAATCAGGGACAGTTTAAACGTGATAGTAGCAAATTAGTTTTTTCTCTTCAGTTTTCAGTCACTGAAGAAAAAGAACACCAGACCAGGGCGTCATGGGTCCCTGGACATTGTACAAAAGGAACGTCTCATGCATCAGTAAGAGTAGTTATTTCATGAGACACCGCCTGTTGCCCGACTTTTTTGTTTCTTAGATTCCTCAGACATGTAACATCAATCGCCTTTATTGAAGTCTTATTTCTGCTTATATTAGTTGTTTAGTTGTTCGTATTTGTGATATATCCAACATCGACTCCCGAACTATGTAAACATATTACCTATTCGTAGATCATGAAGATATAAGTTTGAGATATCATGAACCCATCAAACGGCATTAACACGGGACAAATGTTCCTGGATGCATCAATGGCTTGATGAAGTCAAGGCTAAATTTCAAGCATATTGATTATCTATACCAACTAGGTGTTTTGTGCAACAGGAATATTTCACATTTTAACACACTTCTTTCTTAATGCGAAATGACCAATAGCGCTGCTAAGTTCACAAAGACACCAAATTTAAAAGGAGAGGTCCTTAGAGGTTAAAAGAGATACTGTAAATATCAATGTAGCTGTTGGACGCAAAATATTTTTCTTGATCCTTTTGCTAATATGGTTTTAGATCAAGGGACTATAAGTGTTCTCTTAAAGTGCTCGGGATGATGTGCATGAGTAGATCATTGTAGCTACTGAAAGGGGCCCTATTTTATACTGCGCTTATAGCTTCTGTATAAATAATAATTTCATTTAAAATATATGCTACTTATATCATCGTGAGACCAATTAAGGTGTGTTTGCGGTATTAGTCTCAAGAATTTGGATGGTTACAGACTAAAAAATAAATGCAAACAAAAATAAATTAAAAAGGCGTTATAGGAGATATGAAGAATAAGTGTTTAATAAGTAAGTCTGGTTTTGATAGTTCCGGAATATTGCGTTACGTGTAAGTCATTCAATCGTTTTAGGAAGTATTTTTCAAATTATTAAAAGTATAACTTTATATGAAACATTACCATAGATCGAGAAGTATATCCGAAATTAAGATCTTCTTCTCAAGTGTTGCTCAACATCCCTTTCAAACTTGTCGTTTTTTTGGTGTGTCTTTGGTCAGTCAGAAAAAAATCTGTTACAACACCACTCATACAACTAAGGTTTGATTAAACCAATACTCCAGCAGGAGGAGACACCGCGTGCATCCGGTCATCTGCTTCTGGAGTAGTTAATTAGATGGTGGTAACTGGGACTCGCATTTCCGTGCACAAACACACACAGGTGACTGCGCATGTACGCGTGGAAATATACACATCCTCACACATACATTTTATACAAAATAAATGCACCCACGCAAGTACGCATTGTGTCATGCACTTCCATACGAACGCTTGCGAGCGCACTTAAGAACATAAAAACATAAGAATGGAGGAAACTGCAGCGGGCCTATTGGCCCATACTGGGCAGTCCCGTTTACACCCAACCCCTATCGCTCATATATCCTTCCAACCCATGTTTGAAGCTTTCCAGCGTATTCGAGTTAATGATGATTATTGGTATCTTGTTCTATTCATCCACTACTCTATTTCCAAAACAATATTTACTTAACTTGCGCCTAAATCTTAATTTTTCTAATTTAACCGCTATTATGAGCTCGTTCCTGGTTGGATAGTTTGAGTACCTCTGTTTTATGACCTTTGTTCAGCCCTGACTTCCATTTATACACCTCTATCGCCCCTCACTCTATGTCTCTCGAGGGAGTGCAAATTAAGATGTTTTAACCTGTCTCTGTACTCGAGGTTCCTAATGCCCGGGATTAGTCTTGTCATTCTCCTCTGAATTCTTTCTGGGGATTTTATATCTATTCTGTAGTACGGTGACCAGAACTGAACCGTGTAATCCAAGTGAGGTCTCACAGGCGCAAGATATAGTTTTAGGATAACCGCGCTGGCCTTGTAACTAACACTCCTTTGTATGACCCAAGTACATTGTTTCGAGCAAATACACATTGTTGACTTGGTTTAAGATTCCTACTTATCATTCATTACCCATTAATCCTTCTCACACATTTTACGGATACATACATATGTACACATATGACTGAGGGAAAAACACATCCACGTTCATTGTTACATACTGTACACAAACGCAGACACACATAATAATATTTAGATTACTCCACCCAGAGACAATATTAAGAAACTAGTCTGTGTTTACGTACAGAAGGTGAGAAACAACGACAAATAATTATATATCGTTCAATATATACCAAAAAAGTATACAATCTGCTTTGAAAACTAAATGAGAATATGTGAAAGTGATTATAGAAATCTTGGTTTTCTTTTTGGTAATTGGTAACCAGTGTTTATTTATTGACGACAACTTAAGAGCAAATAATTCCATTCGATTAAGATAATAATAAAAACATAAGTGAATTTCACTCAAAGGAAGCACAACAATTTCACTCACTGAATATGAAACCGTAACAATAAATAAATCAAGTTCAGTATAATTACCATACACGTTTCATCACTTGCGAAAAAAGTCAGTGTAGGAAAAAATATATATATATATCCCATGAGTAACGCTCCAAACATTTCTCTAATGTCCTTCATTCTTCTATACCTACATTTATAAACAGTGACTCTCAGTTTACCTTGTAGAAAATTACCGGTATGGTGGTGTCGCCTTCTCTGTGACTTCCTGGGAACGATCTTCAACTGATCCAGGTAGCCATGCTTATAAACAGGAAAAGGGAGAGTAGCGTGGACGCTGTCTCGTGCTCCTTGAGGTAGTACGCAGAGATTCTCCTACCTCCCTATTGACTTTGATGTTTGTTTTTACGAATACAGAAACAGAGGTGTGTGTATGTATGTGTGTGAGTATGTGTTTTTGATACGTATTTAATCAATCTCTGCTCATATCGTCAGTCCATGTAGCACGCGGACTTCCATTTACAAATAATACCTCACTAGTCGGGTATCGAACCTTGGACCTCTGCGTATGAACAGAGATCGCTACAACCGCGCCACAAGGATAACAAAAGCAATCCTAGACTTTGTTTTATTCCACACAAAGCCTATTCATTCGTCTTTGTTAAGCGCCGTGAACCTCCACTGGGGATTGCCCGTGTCAACTATGTGGTCAGGGTAACATTTTACCGAATCCAGCTAGGAAACACGAGGCTATATATATATATATATATATATATATATATATATATATATATATATATATATATATATATATATATATATATATATATATATATATATATATATATATATATATATCTCATCAGTCCATATAGCAAAGACGAATGAACAGGCTTTGTATGTATACATATATTTATATATATATACACTATAAATTACTACATTTATTGGTATACAATATTTGTTAGCAACTGATAAATAATTTAGTTAAGTTAAACTCTTGCTTCTTACGAATAAGCATTTGCAGCGATCTTTAATATATTCTCTGATATCAGAAGCTTATTTCTAACAACACAAAATACCGAGTGTGTGGTTCTCTCGAATCAGGTACTGCACATAATTTTTTAATTATGACTTATGTTACGAACCACGCCACCAATTGTCATGATCTACCTACCCAGCACTTCGAACCACGCCATCTATTGTCTTGATCTACCTACCCAGCACCACGAGCAACGCCATCTAGGGACGAGACACGAGTATGACTCGTCTTAGTTACCACTCCCGGGTTTCCCTTCTCCATATCCTGGTTGTTGCGTCACTTCCTCCAAGTCTTCTTTGTCAGTTCCAATTCAAGAAGAGGGCACTTGGCTCTGGGAAGTGACCACAGGATCACCTATCCTCTAAACCTACGGCACAGTGACTACCTATCGTCTTCTACAATACTCAGCCTTACTCGTCAGCCATCTCAGCTCCTCACTTAAGTATTTGTAATCTTGTAATGCCTCCCCCACGTCCACTTGCTTCAAGATTGTTTTATGTTTTATTAATATGTATATACTGTTAATGTTTAGGTTAAGTTTGGTTAAGGGTAATTTATAAGCTGAATATTTTGTTAAGGAATTTATGGTACTTTATTATACACAACAAAAACTCTCATCCTTTGTCTACCCTTTTATAGTCCGATTGTCTTTGTTTTTTTTGTTGTTACCTGTTGGGATCTGGGTAGACTTTTAACTATATTCTAAATCCCTAACTCGTAACACTTAGAATATTGGTATTCCTAGAGTAGGGTCTGGCGAGGGTAAAGAAGGCGTTACATTATCGAGGACCAGAAGTGGACGAAGTTCTTCCCATTATTGTGACGAAGGAAAAAACAGGAATCTAGCATCATTATTTTTCACCTGAGGTCTAGTTATGTTCAGTAACTCAAGTGCAACGGGTAGCAGGATTGGGCGTAGTTCTCCCAAAGTAATCCGAGGAAGGCGACGACTGTGCCTAGAATCAGTAGATAGAAGGCGCCCTGGAGGTGACCCATCCCAAGTATCACCTGTGTCTCGTCATCCTGAAAAGGGTATTTCTTATTAAGTATTATAGGTGTGGTGCATTGGAGTCCGCTGACGTTCTACAGTAATATACAAGAGTGACTTTTCTCTATGGCTTCAGCAGATGATGTTTTATGTATCATTCATATCATAAACATGAGCATGATCATAAGCAGCTATAAATTAGACTTAAATACACAATCATACATGAAACAATGATATACGACACGCTAATGGATGAATATGCAAAGACGAGTATTACATAAATGGTATATGGCACATTTTAATTGTTAAGTTATAATGGAAGCTTTTGCATCTAAAGAAAAACAATTGCCTAACTTTGAGGGCAGATTAACCTACTAACAGATGACAGTAAATACAACAGAAATACTAGGAAACAAATAAGTTGGTAGAGGCGACAATTTAGGACAATTTAGTTCAGTCATATATATATATATATATATATATATATATATATATATATATATATATATATATATATATATATATATATATATATATATAATTACCCGGCTGTGGTGTAGTTAGGTATTGGGTAAGTACTGTACTTAAGTAGCTTAAACAACTATCTGTGCATACTTTGTGAGAAACAATATGAGACCATGGACGATAAATATTGGTATATGAGGGCTGTCACTAGTCACACGTAATATTTGAGGGGAGCATATCGACCCCCACCTGCACAGATAGTTGTTTTAGCTACTTACATATTGAATATCCTTGACTGTTACAGTTTGCCCTTCCTGACACGGGCAACCACCTCAACTTAACCTAACATAACCTAACCTAACCTAACCTAACCCAACACTCAATAGGAATAATCGACGATTATGTTTAAAAATGTAACTAAAGTTTATGCCAAATAGGGATAATTTTTGTTTTTATTGCTGTATCTTAATTTAAAATTAGATCATATGTCAAGATTTGCCCTGTTTCATTTAAGACGTCGCTTAACTTCATAAAATAGCCAAATTAAAGTACTTCAAGACTACCGCCAAAGGTATTTGTCAACAAAGTCAACAGGTCCGTGGAGTAACAGTGACCATCTGAGAATATTAACCTGTGGGGTATCTTTCACAAGGTTTAGAGCTGCAGTTTCTCGGTTCTCCCTCACACGCCTGGCCATAACCTCCTCTGTCCAGTAGTCTATTATCCCAGCGTCTTGCATCCATGATGTCATGAGAGCAATTTTTCTGTAGAATGGCGCGCCTTTTCTGAAATCATCATAAAGTAATTGTCTCATTTGTTTCCACATTTTTTATTATACAAATTATAGATGTGTAAACTTACTTACACTTATGTTCAGTTGCCTTAAAAAGTTCCTTTACCCCCTCTGGTAATGTTTACATAAATGTGATAGGGTCGCAATGCCAAATTTATGAATGCATGGGTAGTACTATAACGATAGAGCTGATTGGTGGACAAGTTTGGGTGCTAGACGTCAAGAGATGGGGTTGTGGTTCGGTGGGCGGGGGTCCTTTACTCAGAGATAAAATTTTGAGGTCAACCCAACCGTTGCCACTAACACTCAACATTACTCACACCACACTCCACGATACAGACTTACCACTGTCCGTACTTATATATAACGCCTCTTATGGTCTATATATGTTACTTTTTTTGTGGAATCGCATATTTTGCAAAATGACCGGCAAGCATATTGGTAATTGTGCAAAATAACTTACAAATAAACAACCTAAACTAACCTAACCTTATGGTTAGGGCAGCGCAAAGTCCAAAGTTAGAAAATAAAACAAGACCACTTAACTGTGTATCAAGCTACACGAGCCATCCTAACCTAACCTAACCCAACCTAACCTAACCTAACCTAACCTAACCGTACTCAACCATAAGGTAGGTTAGTTTAGGTTGACTGCTTGAAATACACTTTGCAAAATTACCAATATGCATGCTGGCCATTTTGCAAAATAACCGATTCCGCAAAAAAATAAAAAAAAACGTAACATATACCTGTATACTATGTGTGCCAGTTTCCCGCGATTAAAATAAAACTTGTAGATTGCATTATATAACTATTTATATATAGTAACTCGTCACAAGATGTTCACTGTGGTAGTGATGGGTCATTATGTGGGCTAGTTAGGGTGGCAGTGCAGTCATTCATAGCGTTGATCAAATCAAAAGTATTTAAGAGTTAGTAGGATGTATTTTAATTCTGATATAATGTTATATGTCATTTTATGTATCAATAAGAACTGACATTTCACACTTGATCGGTGAAGAGCTCTCTACTGACCCCCCATTGGGTTCACCTCCAATGCAGGGTCATGGGACACATTTACTGCAACTTGCGGTACATTAATACTGCCAAGATGATATTGTACTGTCTGTGTTTTATTTATTGGGTCGTCTACCTATGCTGTTGTTTCCAAATCATTTACAGATTGATAAAGTTGGCCTTTATTAAGGTTTACCTACACAGTATTACATTTATCTTAGATTGTATAATAGAAAAAATATGAGCATGTAAGATGCTTATATAGAAATATTAGATACTAGCGGAATCGCCGCCCTCTGGGCGGCTCTTTCGCTAGGCCACAGTAGGACGCCACCCTCCGGGAGGCTCCACATTGTCTCACTACAGTGTATTAGGGTAGACCACATTTTTGGTTTTGCTATTAGCAACAAGTATAAACAGATTTTTGCCAGTTCCCACTCTGGGGCATCCAACATAGAACTGTCCATGAGAGAAGCAAGGAAACACCAAGTTTAGGCCAACCATCTTTAGGGACTGTCCCTGGCTTTTGTAGATGGTCATGGCAAAGCTCACTTTAACCGGGAACTGAAGCCGCTTGAACTCAAATGGAAGGTCAGTGGTGATGAGAGGTATCCTTGGTATAAAAAAGTCCTCTCCTTTAGCTTTTCCTGTCAGTATTGTAGCTTCCAGTACATGTGGCATCGTGTTCTTCACCACCAGTCTTGTGCCATTGCAGAGGATTGGTGGTTCAAGATTTCTTAAGAGCATTATAGAGTTTCAATCTTGAGAGTTAGGTGGTGAGGAGGCATTCCAGCGGGCTCCAAGGAATTAAGGAATTCTGCAGGGTACTGGACTGCTTGGTCCTGGTCGATTACTGTATCAACAGATTTGAATGAGGTCTCGCTGTCTGGAAGCTGTCTGAGTAGAGTCATGTTGATTTCAGCCACTGTTTCATTCTTTGGTGCCAGAATTACGCTTTCACTCAGCCACTTGTGATCCTTATATTAGTGGATAATGTTTGGGTAGACCGTGTTAGTGAGCTCAGTTGAGGACTTTACAAAAATTCCACATCCTTGAGGAATGATTATTTGTCCTTCTGAATCAACGGGGAAAGTTCCATTCCCAATCTGTAGTAGAAGATTTGCAAACTGTCCAGCATCCTGATCTCCTTGTAGATGTACTCTCATGTTTGTGGACAGGGTGAGTGTCTCAACACTTCTCGAAAGGTATGATGCCTTGAGGCACGCATTCAGTTCATCAGCTGGAGTGCTACGAGGAATGAAAGGTAGGGTCTGGCGAAAGTCTCCAGCAATGACCATTGCAATGCCACCCATGAGCCGGCCATTTTCTGGTATGTCTTGCAAGGTCCTGTCCAATGCTTTAAACGCTAACTTGTGAGACATAGTGCATTCATCCCAGACTATGAGGCTGTATTTTTCTAAGAGTTTTGCCTTTGCCGATCCTTTTTTGGTGTTGCACACTGGATTCTCATTGTGAGCGAGGTTGAGAGGCAGTTTATAAGTTGAGTGTGCAATACGTCCTCCTTCTAGTAGTGTTGCAGCAATGTCTGAGGATGCCACAGCAAGAGCAATTTTCCCCTGATGACGTACTTTCGCCAACAGAAGGTTGATTAGGAATGTTTTTCCTGTCCCGCCAGGTGCGTCGAGAAAGATCATACCTCCCTGCTCCGCTTGTATCGCTTGCAAGATCTGTTCATAAGCATTTGCTTGATCAAGCACCAGGTGAAGCTCATTTTCTTCAAGAAAATTCACCAGAACTTCAACTGAGTAGTCTGTCTCTCTGACTCCCTGTTTGCAACTACTGGTTCTTCTCGGTTTGGGAAAGGCAATTCAAAATCAGTCAGGTTTTTTTCCGCATTGCTCCATCACTTTGTCTTCCAGCATGATCAGAGCCCTGTTGAACATGTCATCCATGAACTCAATCTCTTGACAAGGATGTTCTCTTCTTGATGAAGCAGATCCTCTGAAAGACTTTCTTGGTGGTTTTTCCAGAGCTGGCTTGGGTTGGAAAGTCCACATGTAGCAATCATGATGGCATACAGGTTCCTCTTTCTCGCTGGCGATTGAGTAGCTGCTGCCTCTTCTAATGTGTCATTCCAGTGACCATCATCTTACAGTAGGCCAAGGAGATTGCACGCTTCCTGATAGGTTCTGCAGACTTGTCCATTCACTATCTTGAGTGCTGCATATGATGTTGGGCCACGAATGTGGTGCAAAAGTAGTCTCAAACAATAGCATTCAAAGTTGTTGGGGTGAACCGTGTAGACACGTCCCAAAGCATTGCCTGACTTTATCCCTGGATATCCTTCAACATCGGATCCTTGAGCTCTTCTCTGGAACTTTTTCATTGAAGTCTGCCATATGTAGAACTTGGGTACGTCAACATACAGGAGTATTTGAGCAAACTCATCTTCCTGTGAAAGCTTGAAGAATGTAGTGAGGGTCGTATCAGCAGGATTTGCCATTTGATTTTGGAGGAACTCTTCTGTGAAGTATACTCTTTGTCCATTTTCCAGGTGTACTACTGTTGGACATCGTTCGTGTATGGGAAAATTAAAAATTCTCCATAGGGCTTCATTGCTGCATATACAACGGCCTTGCTGAAACTGTGTTACCTCTTCATGATTTCCATCATTTTCCAATGCAAAGATCTCTTGGTCAGAGCCTTTGTTGACGTATTTGCAGACATACTTGATGGACTTGACTGAATTGCACAACTCCCCATTGATGTGCGCATTGAATGCTTTACTCAAAAGAGGATTGTAGGGGACCACCCATTTGTTGTCTACTGTTATTTCACTGTCTGTTCCAGGTCGCAACACTGCGGTAAAACCTCCATCGCCTGGCGCTCTTCTACTGTACTAAGGATAGCCATCTTCTCCACTATGAGTATCCTGTATCAAGTCTTTTGGGAAGTTTTTAGTGCAACGTCCATCTTTTATGCATGGAGATATCTGTTGAATTGTCCACATGGCCCGTGAATCATTTGCTTCTTGGTAATCTCATAGAGAACTGGATCTTCTTCTGGATCAGGAAACTCTGCTCGTATGCAGTTGTCAATCATGTTCGGTCGAAGTTTCTCTTTCAGCCAGATCAAGACATGGGCATGTGGTAGACCTCGTTTCTTCCACTCAATGGAATACATGTAGCACCGTGTAGGGCCAAAGATTGATGCTTTTGTAAGCAATTCCATGAGTTTGATCACTTTCTGACGAAATACTCCCGCTATAATATCATGCCGATCTTGTCCTTTCTGGCCTTCCATTAGAGCTTCTGTTATGTCAGTCCATACAGGGTTGCATGTAAAAGTAATGAAGAGATCTGGTCGTCCATAGTTTCTGACGTAGGTCATGGCATCCTGAGTCTTCTCATGCATGTATCGCGGACCTCCAGTGAAGGAAGAGGGGAGAATCACCAGCTGTCCAACATTGCCCACATGTCCATCCCTTGCTCCTGCATCTCTCAGTTGAATGTAGTCATCAACCCTGAGCTTCTTTTGGTTGAGTCGTATGAAGGTGAGTCTTTCTGTTTCAATTTTGGCATACATGTCCACTACAAACTGGCGGAAGAGGTTCCTTGATCTTAGTATCTGGTTCAGTCCCCAAAACTTCTTCTTCCATCTATAGTTCATTAACGGTGTAAGTTTCACTGCAACGGTACAGCAAAGTATATTTTTTCAGCATTAAACTGTTATTATTTTATTGTCTAATAATCACTACATATTACATCATCCATCGTCACTACATAAAACACCACCCATCATCACCAGATATAACAACATCCATCATCACCACATATAACACGACCCATCATCACTACATATAACATCATCCATCATCACTACATATAACACCATCCATCATCACTACATATAACACCATCCATCATCACTACATATAACACCACCCATCATCACTACATATAACAACATCCATTATCACTGCATATAACATCATCCATCATCACTACATATAACACCATCTATCATCACTACATATAACTCCATCCATCATCACTGCAGATCGGTAAAGTAGTTTCCTTGATTCTCGTGCGGCCACACACACACACACACACAAGCACACACACAGGCATACTTCTTTGTTTTATATATGTAGATCAACGGTAAGAGGAGAATATCTGCAGATTGATTCAAAAAATGTGTTACAACTATTCGGACACGATATTAGCAGACTTTTCTTAGTTATTTAAACCAATTAATTACCAGATTTACACAGATAGCAGAATCATAAACATTTATAGCAGTTATTATACAGCACTTCACATCGGTGGGAGCAGGCGATTTAATTCTCACGAAACCTACCATCTAAGGGACAACTAACAGGTAAGACATTTAATGAGGTTGGAGTAAAGGGGATGAGGGTCTACCGGTGAGGGGCGGTTAAGGCTCTTCTGACCCGCATATCCTGATTCATATTTTTATAATATATTTATATAATATATTATTCTGTTCATTGTTTTATATTATTATAATACATGCATGAATAAATCTTCACATATGAACCATTGTATGATCCATTTTGTGATTTACCAAGGCGCCAGTGTCCCTGTGTGAAGAAGCTTCCTGGTGTATAATACTCATAGATTACTCTGATTTCCTCGTATACGTTTCATTTTTAGGCCTTATCACAATAATTAGCATTTTTCTTTATTAGAGGTATATGTGGTCTGAAAAATGGCAGAGGAAATTTAATGTGGACAAATGTAAAGTCTCGGAAACGTAAACAAAGAAACCAGATATCAGATGAATAACATTGTTATAAACATTTTGAGAAATCCGACTGTGAGAAAGATTTAGGAGTAATGATAAGTAGGAATCTTAAGCCAATTCAACAATGTGTATTTTCTCAAAACAACGGTAACAAAGTCCTTGGGTCCATCCAAAGGAGTGTTAGTTACAAGAATAGCAAGGTTATCATAAAACTATATCTTGGGCAACTTGAAACCTTACTTGGATTACACTGTTCATTCTGGTCACCGTACTACAGAATGTATATAGAATCCCTAGAAGGAATTCAGAGGAGAATGACAAGACTAATCCGGGACATTAGGAACCTTGAGTACAGACATGTTAAAGCATCTTAATTTGCACTCCCTCGAGAGACGTAGAGTGAGGGGCGATATGACCGAGGTGTATAACTGGAAGTCAGGGCTAAGCAAAGGTGATTTAACAAAGGTACTCAAGCTATCCAACCAGGAGCAAACTCGTAACAATGGTTATAAATTCGATAAATTTAGATTTAGGCTCTAGATAGGTAAACATTGGTTTGGATAGCTTCAAACATAGGTTGGATGGATATATGGGCGATAGGGGTTGGGTGTTAACGGGATTGTCCAGTATGGGCCAATAGGCCCGCTGCAGTTTCCTGCTATATAATCGTAAAAGTTATCATGGGATGTAAACAACTCTTTGAGGCAACTATACCAACAAGTACATATAAATCTTAGTTATAAGTATCAACAGTTAGATTACTTAAAAGTCCATCATTTCACCAAAACATACCCCAAGTTATCACATTTAATGACAAATATCACATCATATTGCATAGCATTACCAAACAATACTAAACATACACCACACTAACTATCACGTCACATAACATTATTGCACATCGTATAGTCTCAAATAGCATCACACAGCATTGTATACTACCACAGAGCAACAACTTTACGACCTTTCTGTGACCTCAGCACATAATCATATGCCATCATTAGGATTACAGCTCACCAATTACTGTACCACCAAATAACATCTTATGCCATAGCAAGGCAGTGAGTAACACCGCCAAATGATATTTGACATCACAAAATATCGTATAACACAAGGAAAATACAATGTAACATAGCCTTAGCTAATAGCATATTGCATGACATAACAGAATAACGCCACTTAACATTGCATGTCACGACAGCACCTAACGCCACACCATAGCACACTATACATTGCTTAACAATACAGAACATCACATTCTGTTTGCGAATCATTACTGTATCGACTGTTGTACTGATAAATACCTCAAACTCACCTGAAGGACCATCCAAAGCATAACATGAGAGAGAAAGCCTTGTTGCTGACGTAGAAGGGCGTCTCTCCTTTGCTGTTGGCGTACCAAGAGGCCACATACACTGCGAATCGTTTTTGCGAGCAGATGAAGGAAAATCCTCCCTGTAACACTTTCTCAAGCAACACGTCTATGCTGTACCACTGGTGAAGGGGACTTTGATACACATTTTTAATGGTTAGGATCACTGTCTTCCGATTTATTATTGATTTCATAAATAATAATATCGGGACATCCAATATTATACCGTGGACTGTAGTAGAAGAGTAATTAATTATTTTGTTTCTGTTTGTTGGCGGGGTGATTTGTGTATTTATATTTTATATGTTTTGTGTGTGTGTGTGTGTGTGTGTGTGTGTGTGTGTGTGTGTGTGTGTGTGTGTGTGTGATCAAATGAACATCTACTTATTACCTCAACCTTTTTTGTTAGTTAGTCTACTTGACGCAAACTAGTTATTCTTATTCAGTTGTATTCTATTCCTGCATAATTAATAATAAACTAGATTTAAATCAAGCTTAAGCATTAGATGATCACCTCCCAGCGCTTGTATGTAAAAAATAAAGAAAAATAAAGAAGAAATCATTATTTAAGCTCCCTTACACTGACCTCCATTTCATCCATAATTTGCGTCATCACTAGTTCAGTGTTCTTAGAATAATATTCTCTAATGGCTCCAGAGACCTGCCAAGGTTCAGTGCCCCATCTCCAACCATCTGCATCCGCCAGGTCTTGCAAGGTGTCAAGAGTTTGGGATTTCCCCGGGACTGTCAAGTGGGCAATTAGTGAAGAACGGAATCCTGTACAGATAACCAGACAGAACACCAGCCACCATCCCACCAACACCTGTATCATGTAAAGGAAGTGTATAATCGGACAGCGTGAATGATTACGGTACTGTACAATATTAAAAAAGAATAGACTAATGACTATATGTTAAATTGGAGGCAAATAGAAGATTATATCGTTGGGGAAGATATGTTCATATAAAACCAGAATAAATGTAATTGCTAAGAAATACTGTGCATTGCATTATCGGGGTTTTGAATTTCATTAACATTAACAAGAATTCTGGGTGCATTTCATATACGAATGCATTATTCGTGGTTGTATTGATGGGCAATGAGTATAATACAAATTGTGATATTATTGGCAGAAGTTCATGAGGTTAACAGAAGAAAAATTGACAGATATTATGTATTGACAGTTAGAGGAGTCATTGCTTGAACATACTCTTTCTGAGTCGCTGGAGGAAGGGACTGGGGGCGGTTTTTCCATGAGGGCGCCCCAGCCATACAGGAGGGCGGTGCTCAACTTAACACAATCGCCTCCCACCGCCCACTTCCATGCTCTTTGTAGCACCCACATAAGGACACCCCACGCCACTACACTTGCCAGTAATGCAAACCACAGTTCACCTATGCCGAAAGAAAATATTTTAGAGAAGGCAGATTGATGCTTAATATGAAGAGACAACATATCACTGGAATTAAATTAAAAATAACGAGAAAGAAAAACCATTAGCGACAATGTGGGCCTCTAAAGTTATTACTTGTGAACGTATCCACGGCATCAGCCACGTGTAACAGAAGCTACACATAAAACACAAAGAATAGTGTAATAAGAAGAACATATAAGAACATAAGAAAATAAGGAGTCTGCAATAGGCCGGTTGGCCTGTGCATGGCAACTCCTGTCGAGAGTTACTACCACTCTCTATCATCCATGAATCTATCTAGCCTCCTTTTGAAATTTTCCAGAGTTCCAGCACTTACTACAAAGTTGCTAAGCTTGTTCCACTCGTCCACCACCCTATTTGTGAACCAGTTCCTTCCTATCTCCCTCCTAAACCTAATAATAAATGTACACTAATGTACACTACAGTGTTTTAGTTCTTGATCATATACAATGTTTTCTTAAAAGTTTGACTCTCCACAGTAAAATTTAATGCTTTAAAAAGGGATTTTAGTTAACACTTTTTTTTTAAATCTGGTGCAGTCCAAGCTGTTGGAGATTTGGTTGAAATCACTCAACCTATATATATTTTCCTTCATAGCTTCGTTCTCACAAGTTAAGGAAACTCAGAGATTCCTAGCGCATGGAGTCTTAAGACCAAAGTAAAACTTTACGAACCTTCAAATGGTCTAACCAGAGAAAGATGTGCTGGCAGTAGCGTGGGTTTCAGAGATGCTATAATCGTTGGGTCGGCAGGATATAGTCTTGTGAATAATGTAACTCTGAGGCGCCCTGATGTAGGCGCCACCATGGTGCAAAAGTCCGCTTCCTCACGCTGGAGTTTGCCAATACTGCCGTCATACTGGCCGTCTCTTGGCTCACCGAAGGCTCGGCCTGGTGACTCTCGTATCTCATAACTAGAAAGATTTTAACAATAGTTTAAAAGTTTATGACGGAGATGTAATGTTCCGAAACTTTTGATCTTATAGATCACCATCACAGCAATGGACCAAACAATTGTATCATTACTCATGTTATGGGACATACTTGTCTAGGAGTTATTATTATGTTTCATAACATGAGAACACAAGGGAAGATAAACAGGGAACGGGAATATTCATAATACACTAGAAACTGCTATAATATATTTAAGTATTTAACATATTTACACTATATACACAAAAAGGTGAAAATGAAAGTACATCAACTACAACTGAGAAACAGCACCAGGGGCAAAAAGACAAGAACCTCTAGTCTTACAATTACCGCATGGAATAGGTGTTACCTTTCACAATATACATTATAATTATCATCCTATTCCATATACACAAAATAAACTTAGCTGTGAGGTGACCACTCAGTAGTACAAACACAAAACCCTCAGAGACACCGGCTATGTGTGTAGGCCTATGGCATGTAAGGAAAGAGACTTGTCAATGCACAGTCTCACTAAATATTAATTTGCTTGTAGTTATTTAGAGTTCCGTTGATATCAGTAGGATGCCGGAGACTGTCGATAATTATGGTCCAACAGAGCGGTCACTTCTTCCACAAAAGGGGAGATAATCAGAGTCAAAACAGGTGTATATATACTGTGTGATATTTACAAGTCTAAATAAAGTACAGTTAACTAGACTGGCCCCGTGATCTGTTACTCTAAGAGTTCTGGTTGAGTCGCGCTGTACTGAGGCAGGCTCTTGCATTAGGCAAGCTCGTAATGAGGTTCCAGGTGTAGATCTTTACTAAAAGGGGTCCAGTCCAAGACTGACTAAGGGCTTGGCTGTGCCACGCCCGTAGATTGTAATTCCTGCACTCGCCAACCAGAGCGATCTAAGAGTCAAGCTTCTAGAAGGCTCTCGAAGGAGTAAGTAGTCGTCTCCTTGGAATGTCAAACAAAACTACAGTCAGTAGTGTTTACATAACGTGTATAAACAACCGGCTGGTAAGTGATCCCTTTGACCCATGAATCACTCTTAACTGGTGGTGCCATTATATATATATTACTTAACTAACGATCTAACTTACTTGACACATTGCAAGTGTAAATCAAAATATCCATTTACCACAATTGAGCGAGAGAGTTGCATCATACTGCGACACTCAGATAAGACTAAACATCTGCGCGACTGAAGCAGGGTGCTTGGTCATATATATATATATATATATATATATATATATATATATATATATATATATATATATATATATATATATATATATATATATATATATATATATATATATATATATATATATATATATAATTTTTTTTTTTTTTTTTTTTTTTATTCATTGGACACCCCCCTACATCCTTGTGTAAGGTGAAGCGCAGATGCGTTTACAGCGCCCAACAGGGAAGCATGCTAAGTTCATGCTTGCCTTTGTCTCATGAGTTAAGGACGTAGAAGCCTGAAGAGTCAGTGGTTTATGTAATCATGTTATTGGAAACTCCAACAACTCCCTGAATACGAATTCGCAACTTTCGATATACAACAGGTACCTACTTTACTGCTAGGTGAGCAGGGACTAAGGGGGGCTAGGAAGTAAGTCCAAACAACTTTCACCGGCCCGGGAATCGAACCCGTCACATCTCGGTTGCGAGGCGAGAACGGTACCGCTTCTACCACCGGTCCCCGTTTGGTCTATCGTTAAGCGCTTGTCCTTTATGAACATCCTTTAACCTCTACAGGTCATTGAATAATGAATGTTCATAATTATACATCCATGGTTTGTAAGTTATTAACTACTTACTCAAAATTATACAGTATGTTAATTATACTGGTTACATAAATAATAATAATAATTAACGGTTTATTGAAAGAGCTTGGCAGCCAGAGGGCTGAAAATATACAGTTACATATTTGGGGAATGGGTTTCGAATTACAAATAATATACAAGTAACATAAGTGACACAAATAAGACATATAATAACTAGATGGGGAAAAGCTCAAACTACAGTTCATGTCAACATAGTGACAGTGCAAGGAGTAGTGTTTACTGGGAGTGAATACACTGGTTTATTACAAGTTATTGATAATTTTTACAATGGTTGGGACTGGGCTGTTCTTATAGCGACTGTTCGTGCACGATGGGCTGGATGCGGTTGTGGTGTCGAACAGCAATTCTCGGACTAGGGATCTCAGGTGGTAATAGGAGCCGGTGTCGAGGATGGTGTAGAAGCTTCTTACCAAATTTGCAGATGAGGTCGTGGTGATGGTCAGTGAGAGTCGAAAGGGTCAGTGTGTTGAGCGCTTCTTGATATGTGGAGTAGGAAGGGGAGAGAATAATCTTGCATGCCCTCTTTTGCACTTTTTTCTAGGTGTTTACGTTGTGTGGCATTTAGGGAGGAAGACCAGGGGGGGAGGCATAGGTGAGCTTGGGAAGTATGAATGTTGTGTAAACACTGAGGAGCTCGTGTGCAGGAACTCCGAGGGACTTGAGTCGGCGGAGGAGGTGGAGACGGAAACTGGAGGATTTGACAACTTCACTGACGTGTGGTTTCCAATTTAGTTTGTTGTCTATGGTGACGCCGAGGAGCTTCGTGGAATCTACAACCTGGAGTGTGTTCGGACCCAGAGTAATGGAAGGAGGTGGGACAATGTCGGAGGAGAGGTTGATGTGCATAACCATGGTCTTGGTATGGTTGATGGTGACATGGTTGTTGGTGGCCCAGTTTTGGAGACTGTTCAATAAATCCTGAAGGGCGGTATAGTTGGGAGCAGAATTGTTGACGCTGATCCCAATGGTGGAGTCGTCGACATATTTCCAGCGAGCAGGGGTTTCTCTTAGGGCATCATTGATGAGCATAAGGAAGCAGAGTGGTCCCATCTTGGTGCCTTGGGGGACGCCACAGGTGAGTGACTGAAAGGTGGAGACAGCCCCTCGGAAGCGTACAGCTTGGCGTCGGTCACTGAGGAAGTCTGTAAGCCATGGTATAAGACTTCTCCGAAGTACATAGCACAGGGCAGAGCCGGTCAGAGATCTCTTAAGTTACGTAACACGCCAAGAAGCCAGGGTAGACCTACCAACAAACCTCACAGTGTAGGCAGGTTGTTTCTTACTTACTTCAAGGATGTAAGCATTGACATAAATAAAACATAATTTACAATACAACAATCTCTCTCTCTCTCTCTCTCTCTCTCTATATATATATATATATATATATATATATATATATATATATATATATATATATATATATATATATATATATATATATATATATATATACAGTATATATGTATAAAACAAAGAAATATCTGTGTGTTTGTGTGTGTGTGTGTCCGCACGAGAATCTTGGAAACTACTTTACCGATCTGTAGTGATAATGGATGGTGTTATATGTAGTGATGATGGATGGTGTTATATGTAGCGATGATGGATGATGATGTTATATGTAGTGTTGATGGATGTTGTTACATGTAGTGATGATGGGTGGTGTTATATGTAGTGATGATGGATGGTGTTAAATGTATTGATGATGGGTGGTGTTATATGTAATGATGATGAATGATGTTATATGTAGTGATGATGGATGATGTTATATGTAGTGATGATGGATGTTATTATATGTAGTGATGATAGGTGGTGATATATGTAGTGATGATGGATGGTGTTATATGTAGTGATGATGGATGGTGTTATATGTAGTGATGATTGAAGATGTTATATGTAGTGATGATGGGTGGTGTTATATGTAGTGATGATTAGACAATAAAAAAATAACAGTTTAGTGCTAAAAAAATATACTTTCTGCACCCTTGTAATGAAAAACATGGTGGAACTTACATACACCGTCAATGAACTATTGATGGAAGAAGAAGTTTTGGGGACTGAACAGTGAGACAATGTGGAGCTTCCCGAAGGGTGGCGTCCTACCGTGGCCTAGCGAATGGGCTGCCCGGCTGTTTGTGGGTGGGTTTGTTTGTTTGCTTGTTTGCACGAGAATCTCGGAAACTGCTTTACCTATCTGTAGTGATGATGGATGGTGTTATATGTAGTGATGATGGATGGTGATTATATGTAGTGATGATCAATAATGTTATATGTAGTGATGATGGATGGTGTTATATGTAGTGATGATGGATGATGTTATATGTAGTGATGATGGATGGTGTTATATGCAGTGATGGTGGATGGTGTTATATGTAGTGATGATGGATGATGTTATATGTAGTGATGATGGGTGGTGTTATATGTAGTGAGGATGGATGGTGTTATATGTAGTGATGGATGATGTTATATGTAGTGATGATGGATGTTGTTATATGTAGTGATGATGGATGGTGTTATATGTAGTGATGATGGATGATGTTATATGGAGTGATGATGGATGTTGTTATATGTAGTGATGATGGGTGGTGTTATATGTAATGATGATGGATGATGTTATATGTAGTGATGATGGATGATATTATATGTAGTGATGATGGGTGGTGTTATATGTAGTGATGATGGGTGGTGTTATATGTAGTGATGATGGATGATGTTATATGTAGTGATGATGGATGGTGTTATATGTAGTGATGATTAAACAATAAAATAATAACAGTTTAATGCTAAAAAAATATACTTTGCTGTATCGTTGTAGTGGAACTTACATACACCATTAATGAAATATTGATAGAAGAAGTTTTGGGGAATGAACAGTGAGACAATTTAGAGCTTCCCGGAGGGTGGCGTCCTACGGTGGCCTCGCGTATAAGCCGCCCTGACCAAACTTGGCATGGATAGCAAGTGTTTCCTTGCTTCTTTCATGGACAGTTCTTTGTTGGATGCTCCAGACTGGGAACTGGCAAATATCTGTGCATACTTGCTGCTAATGGCATAACCAAAAATGTGGTCTACCCTAATGCACTACAGTGAGAAAATGTGGAGCCTCCCAGAGGGTGGCGTCCTACCGTGTGTGTCTGCACGAGAATATCGGAAACTACTTTACCGATCTGTAGTGATGATGGATGGTGCTATATGTAGTGATAATGGATGATGTTATATGTAGTGATGATGGGTGGTGTTATATGTAGTGATGATTAGACAATAAAATAATAACAGTTTAATGCTAAAAAAATATACTTTGCTGTACCGTTGTAGTGAAAAACATGGTGGAACTTACATATACCGTTAATGAACTATTGATGGAAGAAGAAGTTTTGGGAACTGAACCGTGAGACAATGTGGAGCCTCAGTGGCGATTCTGCTGGTGTACTATGTAACCTACAACAATACATATCACAAACATAATACAAACATAGCATAACACATGTAAGATGAAAAATAATAAACATAATGAGTAACTCGTTCCTTGAACGAGCTGACTACCTAGTTCCCATCACACTCACCTGAAGTTAAGTTTCACTGCAAGAGTGTTGAGAATTCTGAGGTCGATCGAGTCCCTGAGAGTAACTATAGTTTCAGGTTCGTCTGTGATAGGCTTGTAGTCCACGAAGGGGAAGAACGGCCGAGAGGTTATTAAGAACTTACGATCTTTCATGTCCTGGAAGTGTTCTGTATAGGAAACTGTAATTAGCCAATGTATTGATTCTCTTTTCTGAAAATACCTGATCACGATGCCAATCTCTTATCCAAGAACAGATCAAATGACTTAAAAGAAAGTTTATAATGATTATTAATTCATATGATAAATTAAACAAAATATTTTGTTCTCTGATGGCAAGAATTATCGTGCAGAGAGAGAGAGAGAGAGAGAGAGAGGGTGTGCGTGTGTTTCAGTATAGAAGAAATATATACATATGAGTTACCTTTTCTCACCATTACAAAATTTCGTCATGTAAGTTATGTAAACTATTACCGTGCTCATAAAGGATGTTACCACTCAGCTCGACGATTGAGTTTAAATTTTCTTGCAGGATTAGTTGGACGTCTGCCTTCCCGTTGTTGCTGTACAGACATCGCCGGTACACCCACACACGCTCACTCACTACTGCCCCTGCAGTAAAATACAGGTGGTGTAAAGAAACCAAGAAGACAGCAGGTGCTTTGGAGTCTAACGTTTCGACCACAGATGGTTTTTTAAAACGAGTAAATTACAAAAGAAACTCAGAACTTTGCCTTCTGATTTGTCCTTTTGCATAGATAACTGCTTCTCCTTTACTAACTTTATATGTTATATTGGCTATAAATGCAAATCCATCTTTATTGTTGATAATTTTGTATGTACAAATATCTGCCAGTTTGGCAAGTGACCAAATTGATCAATGTGGACAACCAATGAGGTGGAATGCCTATGCGCTCATAGATTATTCTTATGCTCAACTACACACCTCTCCACCCCACATCCACTTTCAGCAATGCAGGAAGCTAAACAGCTGTTACAAGGAATTTGGCAAATTACACTGAGCTTACTTATATCACTCATAACACCCATTTGTTTATCTTCATATTTTTTTACAATTTCTTCCATTTTTGTGCTAGAAGCCTTTACTGTATGCATTCCGGCCAGTGACATAGTCTGTATGTATATAATGTATGTTGTATGTATACTATGTATGTACTCCATTTATATACATTACTTATTTAGCTAGCAGCGTGTAGTAATGTATTTTTCAAGTCACCACATGCTTAAATAATGTGCATGGCGACATCTGGAAGCTGCTAATGTACCACTTGCCACATGTCGCCTGAGAGGTCAGGTGACCCATAGAGAGAGGTCAGTTGACCCATAGAGAGTGTTGGGAACCACCGTCTTGTGTTGCACCTCTGTATAATTCCAGCAAATAGAACCTACAAAACCTCTACAGGTGTTTGTGTTCGCTCCTGTAGTTAGAACTGAGTACCCAGAACATGTACATGGCGCAGTGAGTTAATTGATTGGATCAGTATAAGTGCTAGTGTGTAAAGTCAGTAGCAAGACTGGCTCACAGGAACTCCCACGCTTCGGCCAATGGACCCACCCCGCCCGCTCCGGCAACCGTCTCCACCTCCCCCAAGAACTTGCTTTGAATTTATAGCAAGTTGCAGAAGTGTCAGTGACAGCAAGTTTCTGTGAAGTGAAATAAGTGCCTTGTGTGTGTAGTGCTTAAGTGTGACCTTGTTCTAAAGGATTCCCCAAGGTGGAAGGCTTGTGTGGGGCATTTGTGAGGAGCAGTGTCAGTGCACCCTTCTCCGGCTGTGTCTCCAGGGTAACTGCCTCACAGCACGCTCGCCCGCCTCTGCACCCCCCCCCCGCCTCCCTCGCCTCCCCCGCCTCCCGCGCGCCTCCACACACCACCTCGCACACACACACACACACACACTCTCACGAACACAGATTGCAGTCATTTCTTTATATATATTTTATATATAATCTACTTATCTGTGTATTCAATTAATTTTTTTGTCTCAGACGGATGACTCAGACGGATGACAGCTCTACAGAGATGGATGACCAATCGGAAAGAGACGCCCCAGCTTCTCCCACCACATCTCGCATCCCTTCACCTCGATATTCAGCCTTGTTTCCAGAGGTAATTGCTTTAATGAAGTTTATGAGGGAGGAAAGGCGTGAGGACGAAGCTAGAAGACGTGTTGAGGACGAAAAAAAGGAGATTAGAAGATAGTGAACGGTTTAAATATTTGATATCTCGCCTCACTGCTAACCAAGCCCCCGGTTCTCCTACCGCTTCTGTACCGAATAGTTCAGGTACCTCGTCAACGCCTGCTTTACGCCCTTCAGCCCCACCCAAAGCGGCTGCCCAACCCCCACCCATCTTGAAGCCTGATGTGACTTTCCAGACTTTTCGTGAATGACGGCGACGGTGGACTGATTATGCTACAATGGTGGATCTCTAGAGCTTGCGACAGCCAAAACAATTCATTCAGCTACGTATGTGCCTGTCTTTGGAAACGCAGAGTGTCTTGGAACATGGAGATGTTCGGGGTACTTGGTTCTAACTACAGGGGCGAACATAAACACCTGTGGAGTTCTGTAGGTTCTTATTAACGGAAATATACAAGGTGCGCTTACAAGCGCGGGTAGTCCTTACACTCCTATTGGGGTCAATTGACCTCTCTCTGACCTCTCAGGCGACATGTGGTAAGTGGTACATTAGCAGCTTCCAGATGCTGCCAGGCACATTTATCTAAGCGTGTGGTGACATGAAACAGGGCATTGCCACACGCTACTGACCAGAGAAGTAATGTGTATATATAGAATACATACATGGTATACATACAACATACTTAATATACATACACCTCCCCTATACGCTCATAGCAAAGTCTTGAGCGGACCTTTTCCTGTGGGTCCGTTCTGAGCATCGAGGGGCTTAATCACTGGGGAGGATATGGGACTCAACACTGGTGGCGGGGTCAGCGGAAGGCGTTGTTAAGGGGCGGAGAAAACGGCGGTTCCTCCACCACACACGACCACTGGGTAACCGCACCTGGTAGTCCCGTGACCTACCGAGACCCATGACTACGCCCACTTTGTCCCAACGTAGGGAGGTCGGGTCCTGAACACGGACTTGGGTGCCGACGCTCAACCTGGGGAGAGAACGAGCGTGGTCGTTGTAGCGGGCGACAACGTCTTGAACACGTTCGGCGGCTCGGCGAACACAATCCTCTGTCTTGGCCTGCCATTCCTTGGAGAAGGATTGAGGGTGAGCAGGGACACAAGAACGAAGACCTGGGCAGGGGAGCGTCCGGTGTAGTTAGGTGTGTTGTGGAGTACAAGAAGACCCCAGTCGAAGGTCTCGCAGTCAATATTCCCAGAAGGGGCCACCTTAAGGATGAGGTGCTTCAGGGATTTGACAGCAGCCTCAGCGTGGCCGTTGGACTGCGGGTAATGGGGCGATGACAACACATGCCGGACTCCCCATCGGTCGAGGAACACAGCAAAGTCCCGGCTTGTGAACTGAGGCCCTCCGTCAGTTCGCAGGCGCACAGGAACGCCCACGTCACGGAAGTAGTGGCGGAACTTGCTGATGGTGGCGGCAGATGTCGTATCATTACCGCACTTGATGACAACCGGCCAACCAGAGAGACGGTCGACGATGACAAGGAAAGACTTTCCTGACACACAGAAAAAGTCGGCCGACACAGACTCAAAGGCCCCACTTCTCACATCGCTCCTGAACCAAGAAGACCTCTCAACAAGACCTCCTGCTGGACCCGGAACTGTGAAGACCGCCCTCTCCCTTGTACCATTGTTGGCCATCTTCCCGGACCGGACCACCCACGACCGTCATCGTCCACAACAACTCACGAGCGTTCTCGGTTTATCGAGCATTAGCTTGCCCTCCCCACTGGTGGTGTGAGTGACCCACACTCCAGCTGGAGAGCAGTTATAGCGCGATATTCCCGGCGTGGTTTGAGCTCTTTTCCTTCTACTACTATTTTTCCTTTTTCGCTCTGGCCTAGGGACCTGCACCCTCAAAAGTGTATTCGTCCTGCGGTCCCCCCTGTAACTGTTCACCTCCCTCCCAGGAGATTGTGAACACGAAAGGGGGTTGGAGCAAAACCCATCCCAGCCGAGTCTTTCCAGGAAAACCGTGATCGTGCGGGTCCACCTGGAAAGAGGGTAGCAATCCTTATCCTTCCCAAATAGGCACACTTAGCTCACGTCTATAAGTGAGCAGTCACATACACTAGGAAGTAGGCTTCCCCAACGGGGCTCCGGGAGAGAAGCTCAGGAACCACTCTACGACCACCAGCCAGTGGGGAGTGCTGTAATTCCTCTGCATTTTACTCAACCGGAATAGGTAGGATCTAAAAAAAAAAAAATAAAAAAAAAAAAATAAATAACCCAGGTTATGGAGCGCGTACGCCCTCCTAACCGCGACCCCCGCCTGAACCGCCAACCTGACGACCCGAACTACGACAGGCTTCGCACAGAGAAAGCAGACCAGTTACGCGCCTTCAATGAAGCCCTGAAAAGTAGGAACACTGCCACCACCTCCAACAACTCCACCACCACTGCTACCGCCACTGAGGACAACTGGACGAAGGTAGAAAACAAGAAACGCCGACGTGCTTTTTCGGGAAACGAATGCCGTCAAGCAGCCCCAAAGGCACCCATCACCACCACCAGCTCACCTCCAACGACACTGCCAAAATTCCGGATCACGAAAACGGACGCAAAAACAACATATGCCGCCGTCACAGAGATTGAAAAGCTAAATCCACTGGCCAAATTCTCAGTGCGGCCCAACCTAAAGGGGGAGATGATTATTCACCCCAAAGACAAGGACTCTGCCACCACCCTCGACACTTACCTGCAAAACACCACCACCGTTGCATCAACAAAGCTGGACCCCGCCCAGAAACTGATGAAGTCGGTAGTCCTCCGGTACCCAAAGGAACTACCTCTCGAACCCCTGGAGAACCACCCGAAGATCTTAAAAGCCGAGAGATGCTCTCCCCTGTCCGACAAGACGGCCGCCACGAAACAAGTGCTCATAACGCACTACGGCTCACCCCCCAGCACCATAGACCTCAAAACCTGGGGGATCTACGAAGTGAGGCCCTTCGTCCCAGAGCCCCTGCGGTGCTTCAGATGCCAGAAATACGGACACCATCAGACAAGGTGCACGTACAAGGAAATCTGCGCAGTCTGCGCACAGAAGCACGGCACACACTCCTGCCTCACCAAGTTGAAAAATGGGGAAAAAATTGCCCCCAAGTGTGCCAACTGCGGGGGCAAACACCACGCCTGGAATCCTGGATGCTCCGAGAGAACAAAGAGGGTCCAGGCAAACCGACCAGCAGCAAGACCGGCCCCCACCGCCTACACACCAGCCCCACCAAGTACCTTCGTGTGGGGAACCCAAAGGCCCAAACAACAAAGCCAACCTCCTCAGCCAGTCAACACCCAAAGTGCAGCCCAGTTTCCTGGCCTCACTACGGCCACACCTCAGCCACCCAAGCAGCAGACAACGACAACCACGAGAAAGGCAAAAGAAGCACACACCAAGGCACCAGAAGGAATGATGCACGTATCAGACCTAGCCA